GGGGGGGGGGGGGGGGGGGGGGGCGAGGGGCAGTGCGGTAGGGAAAGAGAAGGTAAAAGGGGACGGACTCGTAAAAAGTGACATCCTGAGATGCAAAGACACGGCGCGAGGTGGGGTCGTAAAACTGCCAGCCAGGCGCGTCAGGAGGAAAACCAAGGAAGACGCAGGGAATGGCGCGGGCAGAGAGCTTGTCCGCGGTGAGATCGCGGACAAAGGCACGAGCACCCCAGACCCGGAAACGCGACGCATCGCCAACCTCCCCCGTCCACATCAGTGTGGGCGAGGTCTCCGGCAAGGAGACACGGGGCCAAAGGTTGAGCTGATGCGCGGCGTACCGGACCGCAAACGGGCGCACAAAATGGGGAGCCGCCGCATAGATCGTGGAGGTACGAGCGACCTCCATGACTAAGCCAATGCGGCACTCAGCAACCCCATTCTGCTGCGGAGAGGCCGGAAGCGTGAACGACTGGCGGATGCCGTGCTCCGCACAGAAGGCTGCCAAGAGGTCGGAGGTGAACTCACCACCTCTGTTAGAGTGCAGACGCAAGACAGGAAAGTCCCGCTCGAACCGCTCGCGGAGCTGGAGACGAACAACGCGGATCCAAGGGATCAAAACAGCAGGGACATCCGCCTTGCGCTGCAAGGGGAAGACCGTGGTGTAACGCGTGTAGTCGTCGACGACCAGCAGGAAGTACCGCTCGCGGCCCTGCCCCTGGACGCGGGCTGGGCCCCACACGTCTAGGTGGAGAGTCTGCAGTGGAGCCTCTGTGGGAGGGAACGAGGAGGAGTGAGGAGCGGCGCGCTGCCGCCCCTCGACGCAAGGAATGCAGGGCGGCGCAGGCAAGGGAGGGAGGGCAGGCAGAGACCTGGGAAGGCCAGAGACCAGGGAGCGAGAGTGCATGCCACGAAGGCGGGGCAGGGAGGGGTGACCAAGGCGGTGGTGCCACAGGAGAGTGTCGTGCGACAGGCGGCGACACTCACACTGGGTAGCTACCTGAGCAGACGCGTACAGCTGAGGAGACAAAGGGGTGTAGCGTGACACAGCAGTGAGGGTGTACAGACTGGACCCAGGCGCATGTGTGAACATGGCCAGGTGGCGCCCGCTGTCCTCCGAGAGTAAAGGTGTCAACCCAGTGATCCTGAAGGACGGCGGTGCTCACCAAGTTCGTAGAGAACGAGGGGATGTGAAGACCAGACAGCTCACCGGACGGGACCGCCGGGCACGGAAGCACAGTCGTGGCTCGTGCAAGCACTGGGCCCCCAGAGGGGTCAGCCAGTGAGACAGGGACAGGTGCAGGGAGGGGTGTGACTGTGGTACTGTCGCGAAAGAAACAGCGGGAAGCACCAGATTCAAGTTTAAAGGTGTGCAAGGCCTCAGCAGGCGCAGTACCAGAGAGAGCAGACTCACTAGCACCTAGAGCAGCAGCCGCTATACCAGGGTCAGGGGGCACACACAGGTAACAGTCACCCTCAGAAGTACCAGTCAGAGCATACATGGCAGTAAGGATAGTGTCATAGTCTAGAGCAAATATATCTACTCCGTCTCGAAGCAGCTCTAGCCAGAGGGGTAGCTCAGTCTCGTCGCCAAACCGTGCTCGCCAAGCGTCGCTCAGACGGGAGAAGCAGCGGGACACTGTCTGACTAACTGTCCCGCAGGTCTTACCAGCTTGATCACCTGTGCGAATGACGTACGGGCAGCGAGCAGTAGTCCTACACCCCCAACTCTGAGCGTACCACTCATGCAGCTGCCGGGGCGTAAGGGTCTCGCGCGGGCGCCGCTGCAGCTGCATCTGGCCACCGCTTGAGACTCCGCACTGACCAGCTCCACCACGACTGCTACTACGGCCGCCGCCACCTCTCCGAGACGCACAACGCTGAGCGTACCACGCATGAAGCTGCTGGGGTGTAAGGGTCTCGCGCGGACGCCGCTGCAGCTGGATCTCGCCACCGCCAGAAACTCCGCACTGAACAGCTCCACCGCGACTGCAACTATGGTCGCCGCCACCACTCCCACTGCCGCCACCGCCGCCGCCACCACTCCCACCATCGGTACCGCGAAGAGAAGTCATAGCGGGTACTAGGGTAGGCAGGGGCGGCGCACGGGCAAGAAAAGGCGACGGTCTGCCAAAGGAAGGCGGCATGTTGCGGGAGGTAGGGCGCACAGGTAGGGTAGGTCGTGTGCAGGTAGGGCAGGGCGCAGGCGCAGGGCAACCGCGAGGTGCGCGCAGGCTGCTGTAGCGGCGCGTGGGCGGCTGAGGCAGCGCGCAGGGCAGTGCCGGGCCGCGCGAAGGCGGCGGACGCGGCGCGCGGGGCAGCTGCAGGCCGCGCGGGCGACAGACGCGGCACGCGGGGCAGCTGAAGGCCGCGCGGGCGACGGACGCGGCGCGTGGGGCAGCCGCGGGCTGCGCGGGCGGCGGACACGGCGCGCGAGGCAGCCACGGGCTGCGCTTGGGCGGCAGCCGCGGCGCGCGGGGCTGCTGCGGGCTGCGCGAGCTGCTGACGCGGCGTGTGGGGCAGCAGCAGGCTGCGCAAGGGTGGCAGACGCGACGCGCGAGGCAGCAGCGAGCTGCTCGCAGAATTAGGGTTTGCGCGCGCGGGCAGCGCAGCGCAGGCAAGGCAAGGCAAGGCGCAGGCAAGGCAAGGCGCGCGCGGGCAGCGCAGCGCAGGCAAGGCAAGGCGCGCGCGGGCAGCGCAGCGCAGGCAAGGCAAGGCGCGCGCGGGCGGCGCAGCGCAGGCAAGGCAAGGCAAGGCGCAGGCAAGGCAAGGCGCGCGCGGGCAGCGCAGCGCAGGCAAGGCAAGGCGCGCGCGGGCAGCGCAGCGCAGGCAAGGCAAGGCGCGCGCGGGCGGCGCAGCGCAGGCAACACGTGGGGCAGCTCAGTAACCACAACGGTAGGTGGGCCTGAAAAAAAAAAAAAAAAAAAAAAAAAAAAAAAAAAAAAAAAAAAAAAAAAAAAAAAAAAACGGTCCTACGGACCTACTGCTCTGAAACCATGTCAGAAACTTCAGGCAGAAAATGAATGAACTAGCAGAAGGTTGGGTACAAATATGAAACCCTAATGGGGTTGTACCCTATATTGGCTACCCCACTACAGCCTACACAAGTATAACATGCATATATGTTTGACATGCAGTGGCAGTGTGACTTCGACCTGGAACTTTGATTCGACAAGGTGGCCCAAAACCAATCAAGACCCCTGGTCCCGATCCGACCGCCCCTCGCGTGCTGCGCTAGGCGACAGCAGCAGAATGAAGTGGGGAGCGAAATCGGCGCGACAAGGCCAGATTCTTCCCAACACCAATCCCTGTTCCGCGATGTGGCCGAGGTCGTTGCGAACTCTACCAACCCTTGGACGGTCACAACAAGCGTTGTGGCCATGCGAAAGATATGCTTTGGCGATGAAAACCAGTGCATCGCACATTAATCTAGCGGCACATATGCATTCCATTCGATTTGCGGCGGAGCGGCACTCCTGATTTCAGATTCGTCTGTATGGCCAAACGAATCAACACCCTGTTCCGCATGCTTGTGACTGGAGGCAGGTGTGCTGGCACTCCCTCCTCCTTTCCCGCCGATTCAAGTGGCTGCCCAGAACCTATCAGAGGTCCCGTCGTTTGGCGTTACCCTCGTGTTTTTGTGGCTGCGGTTCCTCCTAGAAAATATATTCAACCAATGGGGCTCAGTCGTTCTTCATACCGGTATGATATTTCCCCCTAGAGAAGCATTGGGTCCGGTCGGGGGCCGGGGCCCGCTGTACTGTACTGTATTGCTCTTTCCATAGGGGCCCTCGCAGAGAGTCAACAGCCTTGTCGTCGGGTCATTTCGCCTCCCGTTGGTTGTTGCCATGAGAGCAATGCAACCTTCCCCATGCACGGTTCACATCACAACACAGCAGATCGTCTCTCCTCTCCTCATTATGCCCACGCGGTGCCAGCCGTCTTTTCTGTGCAGAAAAAAAGAGTACAGTAGCTTCAAACCCACTGATGATTTGTGTTTGTACCGTCGGAACTCGTGAAAGATGAGCGGTCAAAAATTCGGCAGCAGCTAGTAGGTGTGCCTTCCGCAAAGTTGAAGCGGCGTTCTCCTCAGAACTTCCCGACCAGGCCTGTCGATTGACGGGCATATGCCCTTAATGCCCTGAACATTAAGGGCTAGTTTCGCTCCAGCTCCAATGCGTCAAGTTTTAGATTCGCACCCCACCCGTGCCACTAAGTGCTTCGTTCGACCCTTCCCCGGATGCGTTAAGGGACGAAACCAGGCCTTCCCCTTCATCTAAGTTTTGGTTTCCGATTGAAGAACCCCCCCCCCCCCCCCCCCCCCCCCCAGGGTGCCAGAGACCCCCCCCCCCCCCCCCCCCCCCCCATCCCTTTCTCCGTAGCCTGCACTAGAGCGCGCCGAGGGGATTTTTCCCTTAGCGTTTTCTAGCCAATCTCGTGTGTGTAGTGTGTCTCAGTCAGCCTTGGAGCACCCGAACATTCCCTTAGCGTCCAATACGAGCTGGCCGCAGTTTACAACTGTGACACATAGGATTTGGTTGGGTGAATCTGGCTAAGTTGATTGGCCACAGAGAACTCCATCACACTAAACCAAAGCACGTCAAAGGAACTGAAGCACTCTAGCGTAGCAGCTCTCTCTCCACCTTCGTTCGTGCGTGCCACGACGACCACAATTCCTCTCCACCACCATGCAATCCATCCACCACCACCACCCACCCACCCAACCTCCCTCTCCTCCCCACCTTTGTTCGTGCCATGTTTTCTCTTCTCCACCGTCCAACCACCTCCACGGTACTATCCACCCAAGCTCTCTGCTCTCCACCACCTTCGTTCGTGCCGTGCTATGGCACTTCTCCTCCATCCACCCACTCTGCCAAGTAGTCCTCGCGTCGCCTCGCTCACACACGCGAGGACTATATTATGGCTAGTTTACCAGTTCACCTGATCAGCCACGTTCTCCCACAATGGACCCTTGCGAGGGTGAAACCCCTCCTCCAGTTTTGCCCATGGCAAACATCTCTCATTCTCATAGTACGACCGAGACCAAGCCTTACGTACCCACGGATGCTGAAGACATGCTAGACGTAGCTATCTCAGTCTTGGACCCGCGCCTCGCCCATGAAGCCTCGTCGTCACAGTCAACACCGAGGACCGCGGGCCGCTATCGTCAGGTGCATCTTAGCTTCGCTAGTCCGCCACCAGATTCGCGAAAGCGTGCACGAAGCGTACCGCCTCCACCCACTGCTGAGGAGCTGGAGGCGCAGGACAAGGCTATCGCAGAGGATGCAGAAGTACCCCCGGACACCGAGATCCCTGCTGCTGAGAAGGGTATGGCACGTCGCTTCAGCACGTCGTGGAAGCAGACGTAGTCGTGGCTGAGCCTGAAGTACAACAAAGAGGAGCGCCAGTATGGTATGAAGTGTTCCGTGTGCTGTAAGTTCGCTCCTAACACCAAGTCTCCCTTTGGCGGTGCTGGCGTCGGTGCAAGGGATTTTCAGAAGTCGGCGTGCCGCAACCATGACCAGTCCAAGGTGCACCTCGCAGCCATGGAAGCTGAACGACTCGCTGCTGGCACGGAGGTGTGGTAGCGCAGCCTCTTGAACATGCTCAGCCGCGATCCTGTCATGGCGAGGGTCGTCAAATGCATGCAAGCAGCTCAGTGGATTGCGCAGAACGATGCACCAATCGCTCTCTACCCCATGCTGGTGCGGTTCATGGCGGAGCAAGGATGCCCCGACATGATGAACGGCGAATCCTACGGGCGTTATTACTCGCGGTACGTGTTTGCTAGCCTCTGTTTGTGCTCCTAATTTCATGCCTTTTCTTCTGTTTGTTGCTTCTGCTTTTTCGTATTTGTGCTTCTGCTCTATTCTGAGTAACTTCCTTACATTCTCATTCGGTGCTCATTGCAGATACGCCTTCGGCGAATTCGTAGAGGCTATGACGGAGCATCTGGTGGCCAAGCAGCTCTTTGACATCAAAGAGTCGGCCTGGTACAGCCTCGCCTTCGATGAATCCACGGATCGCGCCCGGGAAAGCATCTCATCGTGTATGTCACGTTTGAGAGAGGCGAGGTCGTGGTGTCCCAGTTTCTTGTTCTCCTGTCGCTCGAGCGTTGCGACGCCGCAGCACTGTACGACACGATCGTCAAGTGTCTTTGGGCGAAGGACATGTCGATGGACAAGCTTGTCGGGGTTTCAACGGATGGTGCATCCGTCATGACTGGCGCGAAGAACGGAGTTGTCGCCCTGCTTCGGAAACGGTGCCCGTGGCTGGTGGCGATTCACTGCGTGGCGCATCGGTAAGGTTGCACTGCGCTGTATTGTGATTTTTTTACGTCCCCAACCATCCTCACCAACGTTTCGTGCTTGTGCAGTGAGGCATTGGCTGCCAAGGATGCCCCGAAGAGCTTCAAGGAGTTCAACGTCGTCGATCAGATGATACGTCAGACTGCAGAGCGTCTCGGGCGTTCATCGACCGATCACAAGACCTACATGCATCTCCAGGACGTCATTCGGCAGACGCATCTGGAGGTGCAAGGCTTCTGCACCGTCCGTTGGTTGTCTCGCGGGGATGCTGTGAATCGCTTCTGTGACGTGCTGCCGGTGCAGATGTGGATGTGGACGAAAGAGAAGGACGAGACGGAGAAGCTCGCTACCAGCTTCAAGTTCCACTACATGCTTTATCTCCTGGCTGACGTGCTGCAGCTGCTCAACGAACTCAATCTTTCCTTCCAGAAGCAGACGGTAAGGCTGTCATGCACATGGCCTTGTCGGGTCTTTATTTGTGCGCTTGGCTCTAATGTTTTCTCGCTCTGTTTGTTTCCAGGTCGACATCACAGAGGTGAAGAATCATGTCGACAAGGTGAAGACCAAGCTTTCGCAGTACTACGTGGAGCCCGGCGCATCCAACGGGCCGAACACCTCTCGCCTGAACAAGTTCCTTGCTGCACACGGCAGCAAGGACAAGCGCAAGCTGGAGCTCAAGGGAGTGGACGAGAACGGCAAACCTGCAAAAGCCGAGATCGTGCTCCACGAGGACATCATCGACCCTGAAAACCCTGGGGGGGATGCGACTTGGAGGCCTGCGTGGACCTGGCGCGGCGTTTCGATGGTGTTGGTTTTTTCACCCCTGATAAGTATCCCCTCCGTGCAGGAGAGCAGGACGCTTGGTTGAAGCTCCATCTCACCGAGCTCCTTGACATGTTCAAGAACCAGCTACCTGGTAAGTCGAGAGGCGTATAATAGGAATCCAAGTATGTTCTAACGTTGTACATATTCTTCTCCAACATTAACATATTCTAACCTTGTATATGTCCTTGGCAGGAGTCGCTCTTGCTGACATAGAGCCGCAGATGCGCCTCTTCACAGCCACCATGGAGAAGAAATTCAAGAAGCAGAGCTTCCATCAGGCTCTCACCAACATGCTGCGCACGACAGACTGGAAGGATGACTATCCCACCATAGTCTCTCTCTGGCGTGCGGTCTCTGTGTTGCCCCTCAGCACTGTTGAGTGTGAGAGAGGCTTCTCCCGCCAAAACATTATTAAATCGTGGGATCGTGTTGCTCTTACCGATGTTAGGCTGGGGGAGCTTATGACGGTGAAGATGCTAGACTACCCGGTGGACTGGGCAGCGGCCTATGCTTTGTTTGAGGAGAAGGGGAGGAAGGGGAGGAAGCCTGCCAAATAGGCTCGCATTGCATGTTTGGTTAGAGTAGAGTAGCTGAGCACTGCATGCTATATCTGAAGTAGGACATTGCAGGCTAGGTAGGATTAATGACTGATGAAGACATGTGTAGTATTAGGTATCTTTAACTTCTTATATAAGTAGATAACTGCACGTATCATAGTAAAATACAGTGCAAGTGCAAACTTCTCACATGCCCTGATTTCAAGTTTTCACTTTGGGATGCGCCCGTGACCGTTAAAACCGGGGTTCCAAGAGTTTCGAAGTTAGGAAGGTCGCTTGGGGCAAGGGATGTGAGTGGCGGGCGAACCAGGGTGATGTCGAGATTTGTGGACGCGGATCGCAGAGCTTGAGTACCTCGCGTGTGTAACCAGATCTTGAATGCAACGTACGAAATAGCTCACAACAGTTTCGGACGGGCTTCAAATATTTGTGCGAAATCGTCACTGCTCTCGCTCTCGCTAGTACAGTAAATTCGTGTGACGAAATTTGTCCCGACAAGTTGCGAAGTGGGTCACTTCCAACTGGGTCACACCCAACCGAAGTTAGGAAGGTTGAGGCAGTTTAGGCCTGTTTGGGACTCCGCTTTTAAGGGCGCCAAAACGCTCACCTACACCCAACCAAGGGTCAGATGGGGAGGAGCTGGGGAGCGCAAGTACGAGCCCCAGAAACTTCGACAGGCCTGTTCCCGACGCGAACGACAATGCAAAGAGGAGAAATCAATTATTTGGTCCTAGCTGAGAAAAAACGGCAGCATGACATGTCGCACGGATTAGTAGGGAAGGATATGCGCCCAATGACCAATGCATCTCCACTGTAGAACTACTCTCGGACTGCCTTGGAGCGCATCTCAACCGTTAAACTTAAACTCAAAACTCGACGACCATGGATGGTGAGAGTTTATATATTGTCGCTGTGTCTTCGACGGTCTCACATCCAGAGCCCTTTAGTCTTTCTACTAGGGCTCTGTCATTGTCATTGCCCTTACCTTGCGGCCTCATACAGGCTCGCATTGAGATGAGGTCGTTTCAGAACGTCTAGTAGTAGACAACACTCTCCGTTTCGCGTTTCGTCTCAGCGACAAGTCTACCCGCCAGGAGTCAACGACTTTTTAGTAGCAGCGCGAATCACCAGCCATGATGACGATTCGACATGGCTTTCCGGTTCTGCTGCTCGTCGTCAGTGTTCTTTCAACCACAACAAACGCCGCACGACTGATTCTGGTGCCATCTGCTTGCAGGTGTGTTTTCAAATGTTACAACTTCTTGTTTCACTTGTCTCAAAGCACCCTCCCCATCCCCTCTCTCCCTACCCAACCCCCTCCCTCTCGTTCCCATCTCTCCCTCGCTTTTCACTCCCGTTTGCCTAAAAGAAGGCAAATCTATTGTCGAGAGATGCAAATGTTTGGAGAAGTTGTATTGTCGACCAAGCGTGTGGTCCGAAACGCCACAGGCGGTCCCTCTCCTCTCGCGTTCTCCTTTGTTGTCCCGTCTTCTCCCGATAGGTACTTTTGCCGCATACCTTAACCTCTTTCTCCTCTGCCGTTTCTTGTGAATGTTCGCAGCAAGATCTTTTGGCCCGAGGTGGTGGGGATGGAGGGGACCAAGGCTCGAGAGCACATTCTTGCCTTGGGCCCGCAATGCCACTGGGACGTGCAGCTCATCCCTGCCCACGCACAGACCACCTGCGAATGTCGCCCACACCGAGTCCGCATTTTTCTCAATAAGCAAGGGCGTGTCCAGATGGTGCCTGTAACATGTGTTTTTATGCCTCCAGTAAAATAACTCCCTGATTCCGGTACCACTCACGCTAGAGTCTGAATCACAGGTGGGCACCTTAGTTTGCCTCTTTTGCAGAGTGTGTGCAAGGGCAGTCAATTACAGGAACTACTTGCAACATATCCATGTGTAGTGTTGCTTCTTCACTTTAGACAGGCCGCAGGTGTTTTCTGAGTTCATGATATTGATTTGGCACAAAGATGAATCTTGAACGTCATGAACAGACAGTGCAAGATTCAGGGAAGCCAAATATCATGAAGTTCCGCTACAATGGCTCCTGTGAAGCAACCAGCTTGCTGTTTCTTCTGTATATAGTTTGAACTATGGTGGTGCTGGCGAGCGAGAGAGGGTGCCTCCCAAGCTGCCTCACACGACTAGATCCATGGCCGTCCACCGTGCACGTGTACTGTGTCCTGTTGCTGGGGGACAGGGGATGAGATGAGGGGGGGGGAGGAGGCAGGGTGGAAGTGGGGGTTAAGGGGGGAGGGTGAGGGGTGGGGAGTTGGAGGTGTGGGAATGAGAGAGGATTGATTCACAGAGTGTCACCTTCTGGCGAAGAGTGGAAAAGAGGATGCGAGTGGACCTGCCATGGTGGCGAGAGACGTGTGCACTCAGCTTGCTGTGCTGTGCAGGCTGATCGCAGGCTGCACTTGCCCATCCATCCCATCAAATGCAACCTACCACACCCCACTGCAACCTACCACACCCCACTGCAACCTACCGCACCCCACCGCATCCCCACCTGCCGTCAGAAGAAAGTGGCACTTGTTGAAAGCAGCGCCGTTTCCCGTCTGGAGGAAAGCCACGGCCTGCTGGCCCTCCCTCCCTGCCTCCCTGCCTGCCTCCCTCCCTGCCTCCCTCCCTGCCTCCCTCCCTGCCTCCTGCCGAGATCTCAAAGCCAACACGCACCGCTGCAACGCCAGACGCGTCTACCGCTGAGGGGGAAGCGGAGGGAGAAAAGAGGGGGAGTGAGAGGAGAGGTCGAGTGAGGGGAGCGGGAGAATTGGAGGAGAGGGGGGGTGAGAGGAGAGGGGGAGTGAGGAGAGGGGGAGGGAGAGGAGAGGGTGTGGGGGAGGAGGGGCGGATGGAGAGGAGAGTGGTGGGGAGAGGAGGTGGGGAGAGAGGGAAGGTGGGAGCGGAGTGGCGGAGGGAGAGGAAATATATAGGGAGAGGAGGAGGGGGGAGAGAGGAGGTGGGGCGGGAGAGAGAAAAGGCGAAAAAACACATTAGCGCAGCACTCTACTTACCATATCCTTTCACATCCCAACGTGTTGACAATTCCTATGCCTTCTCCCCCATCCATTCAAGTTCTCTCCCTCACAACCCCCCCCCCCCTTCCCCTCCCCTTTTTGTCCTCTTGCTATCCACCTGCTGCGCTCACCTGCTGCGCTCACCAGCTGCTCTCACCTGCTGCGCTCACCTGCTGCTCTCACCTGCTGCGCTCACCTGCTGCGCTCACCTGCTGCGCTCACCTGCTGCTCTCACCTGCTGCGCTCACCTGCTGCTCTCACCTGCTGCGCTCACCTGCTGCTCTCACCTGCTGCGCTCACCTGCTGCGCTCACCTGCTGCTCTCACCTGCTGCGCTCACCTGCTGCTCTCACCTGCTGCGCTCACCTGCTGCTCTCACCTGCTGCTCTCACCAGCTGCATGCAGTCGAGCACAAGCCTGCGCCGCCACGCTCCTGGGCAGATGTGATGCTTGTCCCTCCTCCGCCCGTCCCTCCCCCGCCCTGTCCCTGCAGGGTGAGAGTCCCTGCAGTCACCGCCATCATCGGCGCCGCGTTGCGCTGCCCGCCGCCACCACGACGCGTCCATGATGATAGCAGCGTCGGCGACAGGCGTTGCGGCTGAGCGCGCGACGGCATGCTGCTCGCGAGCGGCCCTCACGCTTTCATGCTGTGGCTGCCGCTGCCGCTGCCGCTGCTGTGAAACTATTTTCGCAGAAGGACCGTCGGCAGCAGACGACGGTCTTCTTTTCTCCGCGATCGCGGGATCGTTTCGAAGCACATCGAAGGGGCACACATCATTGATTTGCCGCGACGCGCGGAATCTATCTCTAACGACCCAGTTTCAACGCGCAAAGCTCCTCCCGCCGTCAGTCCCGCCGAGCATCATGACGCCGTCATGCAGCGGGCGTCGCGGCGCGCAACGGGCGTCGCTCGTACGGCCATCATGCGGCCCTTCAATCGCCACTATGAATCGCGACTCCGAATGAATCAAGCAAATAAAATTCTCTTCAGTGCTCTTCGGAGCGAGCTAGAGGTGTGACTGAATGGTCAGAGTTGTCGCGTCGCAATGGCGCACATAAGACGCCATAGGTTGCGGAAAGAAGCGGAATGTGGGTGGTTGTCTGGAGGGAAGGGGGGTGAGCGTTTGGGGAAAGAAACAGATAGCAGAAGGGTGGTTACGCCAAGTTGAAAGCGAGACTGCTTACAGCGCGTAGTTACCATATAGCACAGAAGGTTCTGCTACGTGGCCGTGGTAACTCCAAAATTTCGTCTTGTTCGCCAATATTCTGAATCAACCTTGACCGAAAAGTTACAGCCATTGATTTTCGTCAAAGATGAAGTTGCTCGCAATTCGGTTCGCGAAGGACGTCCAAGCCAGGCCTACTCTTGTCCCTCACTCCCCTCACCCTCCATTCCGCCCCCTTGAAAACGCAGCCTTCCGATTTCCCCTCTGCCTTGAAGGCTTTCCTCTCATTTCGCTGCGCTCTGGGCGTGGTATCCGTGACAGGCTTCGTCCAGGCGGCGGTGTCCTTTAGGCTGTTAGCGGCACACAGCTTCGTGTGTGATTGCTTTCGCTTTTGTTTGGATCTTATCCCGTGCCGCTCTGACCTCCAAAGAACCACTCTGGTCAGCCTCTTTTACCGCGGCCCTCTACACTGATCCTATTGGCCCACTCAACTAGCACGCCCCTTTAGGTCAGTCACACGCGTTTAGCGAGTGGGTTGGCTCCAACAGTCCCTGTGACGCTGTCGTCGTCACACCTCCGCCCTTCCGAAATGCTGGATAACGAACCTACCGCCGACGACGGCGACACTCGTCGCACACCCGACGCGTCGCAGCCGCAGCCGGGCGACGACGTCGCCGGCGACGGAAACCCCGGCGGCGACAATGCCGGCGATGACGACGACGACGACGACGACACTCCCGAGGGTCGTGCGACGCAGCTGAACATGTACCTGTCCGACGACGGCGAAGTTCTTGACCTCACTGGTAACCAGCTCAAGGATCTCGCCGGCATTCCCCTCCCACCGACTCTCACCGATCTGGACCTCACCACCAACCGCCTCGCCGCGCTGGACCCGCGGATCGGCGATCTGGAGCGGCTGGAGAAGCTGTCGTTCCGACAGAACCTTATAACGGATGCCGCTGCAGCGGGGTTGAAGGATCTGACCCGGCTGACGTCACTCAAAGTACGGTCCTCTCATCCCCTGTCATCCCCTCACTCCCACTCCTCTTGACGTTAGGACGCGGGCGCTAAAAGAGCGATCCTCTCAAAGACGGTGTCCCCTCCGTCGACTCCTCTTTCTCTTCCGCTCCCTCCTCCACCCCCTTGTAACCATGTAACCAAACCATGCCGTTCTCCCCGCCCTCTCACCCTGCTGCCCCCGAGCCGTCACGCAATCGTGCTGTGCTCAGAGGCAGCCCATGCATAACGGCACGGCGCTACCCGCTCCCCTCCGCCCTGCCTGAACCTTCCGTTTACTGGATCCCCCTATCATATCCATGTCCGTTCGCCGCGTTCGCCGTCCGCGCTCCACTCCCCCACTCCCCCATCCGCCATCCCCCCACTGCCCCAGAAGCTTGTGATTCCTCAAGTAAAGTCGCATTACCCTCCCTTCCCCTTCCCCTTCCGCTTCCTCCTTCCCCTCCCTCTCATCCACCCACGCTCTCCAACCCCGGGGAGCTCGTGCTGCGCGACAATCTCCTAAATAATGTGCCCCTGCGCCTCCCCCCTCGCCGCCCTCACACTTCTGGGCCTCTCCTACAATCACATCCGTCATTGTCATGGCTCCCACCCCACCCACCCTCTCATCGCACCGTGTGACCTCCCACCCGTCTCAGGAGCTCGTACTGAGAGACAACCTCTTAAAGAAGGTGCCATGCGTCTCGCCCCTCACCGCTTTCTCCCTGCTCGAGCTCTCATACAACCACATCCACTCCATGCCGCCCCTCGCCTCCGTCCCCTCTCCTCCCTACCATGCTCCCACCCGTCTCAGGAGCAGGACAACCTCTTGAAGAAGGTGCCTCTTGTGTCGCCCCTCACCGCGCTCACACTGCTCAGCCTCTCCTACAACCACATCCACGCCATGCCGCCCCTCTCACCTTCACACCCACCCACTCTCCCAACCTCTCACCCTCTCACCGCCCTGCCATGCTCCCAACCCCCCCAGGAGCTCGTGCTGAGGGACAACCTCTTGAAGAAGGTGCCTCTTGTGTCGCCCCTCACGGCGCTCTCCTTGCTCGACCTCTCCTACAACCACATCCACGCCATGGCTCCCCTCGCTACTGCCCCCTCTGGCGTGCGCGAGCTGTATCTGGCGAACAACCGCATCGGCCACATTGAGGCGCTCGAGGGATTCACCCAGCTCAGGCTGCTGGAGCTGGGGTCGAATAAGATACGGGTGAGAGGGGATGGGTTTGGGTGGGTGGGGTGCGGTGGGGTGGGGGGTGAGATCCGGCCGGGAAAGAGCAGGGTGCAGTGAGGTGCACATGGTAAGGGCAGCCGCCCTGTTTCCCCCCCTCCCCTATTCCACAACCTGCGCGAGCTGTATCTGGCGAGCAACCGCATGGGGCACATGGAGGCGCTGGAGGGGTTCACCCAGCTGCGCCTGCTGGAGCTGGGGTCCAACAAGATGAGGGTGAGGCTGCCCCCGCCTTCCCCTCCCCCCTCGCCTCCTTCCCCCTCGCCTCTGGAAGGCTGTATCTGGCGAACAACCGCATTGCGCACATCGAGGTGCTGGAAGGCTTTTCACAACTGCGCCTGCTGGAGCTCCAACAGACGGAGTTGTGAAAGCCCTCCAACAAGATCTGGGTGAGATGGGGTGGGAATCATGTGGCGGTGAGGCAAGGTTAAATAGGACGCGGCCCGCCCTCAATCAGCCGCCCGCCCTACCTGTGTCTGCCCCCTCGCATGCTCTACCGCCTATGGAGAACCTTGCGCTCCTGTCTACCTTAAAAGAGACTTCTGGGTCGACCCAAAAGCCCCTCCCCACACCATGCCCACGCCTTCCCTGTCCCATGTCCTCCCTTCCCCCATGCCCCTCGTTCCCCATGCCCTCTTTTCCCCATGCCCTCTTTTCCCCATGCCTTCCCCCTCCTCCCTTTACCACGCCTTCCCTGTCCCACACCTGCCGTTCTTTGTGCGCTGGCAGGAGATGGAGCACCTATCGCACCTGACAGCGCTGGAGGAGCTGTGGGTGGGGCGCAACAAGATTAAGGAGGTGCACGTGGCGGGGCTCACAGCGCTGGTCAAGATCAGCGTGCAGAGCAACCGACTCACCTGCATGCGCGGATTCGAGGTAGGGGGGTGGCTGTGGAGATGAGCTTTTGACTCACGTGTATCAGGGAGGTGCGCGTGGAGGGGCTCACGGCGCTGGTGAACATCGGCGTGCAGAGCAACCGACTCACCTGCATGCGCGGATTCGAGGTGCGGGAGTGAGTGTGAGGGTGCAAGGTTGGCAGTGAATGTGTGAGCACATAAAATAGTGGTTAGCGGGGGAAGATTAGCGTGCAGAGCAACCGCCTCACGAGCATGCGCGGATTCGAGGCACGTAATTTGCGTGGATTGGAGGTGCAGAGCGGTAGCGATATTGTGAGAGGACGAGATCATGCAGAGCAACTGCCTCACAAGCATGCGCGGATTCGAGGTGTGATAATGAGCGAGTGCAAGAGGGTGTGAGGGTGTTTGAGACTGTGAGTGAGAGAGTGTGAGGGTGCAAGTTTGAGAGAGTGAGTGTGTGAGCGAAGGCAGAGGGCAGAGGGCAGAGGGCAGGTTAGTAGGCTAGTGTGATGGAGGGGTGCACTCTCACACTACCACCCCTGTCACCCCTCCTTACCACACCCGATCCCACCATCACCACCAGTCGTGCACGCGTCTACAGGAGCTGTAAGTGAGCAACAATGGCATTGCCTGCCTGGAGGGGCTAGAGGCCCTCACCCTTGCCATTCCCCTCCCCTCCCCCTTGCCGTGCCCCCTTGGTCATCAGACCTGCACGCGGCTACAGGAGCTGTATCTGAGCAACAACGGCATCAGTGTGATGGAGGGGCTTGAGGCGCTCACCAACCTGCGTATCTTGGACCTCGCTGCCAACGCCATCACGCACGTGCAGGGGCTAGACACCCTCACCAGGTGGGGTAGTGTGCGAGTGAAAGTGTGAGAGGTGTGCTGCCAACTCTATCATTCTGGTTCAACCAGTAAGTCCATCACCGTGCGCTCACCACCCTGCGCATCCTGGAGTGGACGTCGCTGCTATGCGAGCGCCATCTCCCACGCGCACACCTTCGACAGCCCCACCACCTGGGCTACACACCCTCGCCACCTGCACTGCAGCATGCAACCTTGGCTCACCGCTCTGGACCTTGCTGCCAACGCCATCACCCGTGTGTACCGCTCCTCACACCAGGTGTGCTGTGCTACATGTACTGCATTCCACCCCTCTGCTTCCCACCAGGTGCTCCCCCTACCCGCCAGCTACTGCACGCCATTGCATTGCATTGCCCCTCATCCAACCCATTGCCCCTCATCCAACCCATTGCCCCTCATCCAACCCATTGCCCCTCATCCAACCCATTGCCCCTCATCCAACCCATTCCCCTCATCCAACCCATTGCCCCTCATCCAACCCATTCCCCTCATCCAACCCATTGCCCCTCATCCAACCCATTCCCCTCATCCAACCCATTGCACCTCATCCAACCCATTTCCCCTCATCCAACCCATTGCCCCTCATCCAACCCATTGCCCCTCATCCAACCCATTTCCCCTCATCCAACCCATTGCCCCTCATCCAACCCATTTCCCCTCATCCAACCCATTGCCCCTCATCCAACCCATTTCCCCTCATCCAACCCATTGCCCCTCATCCAACCCATTGCCCCTCATCCAACCCATTGCCCCTCATCCAACCCATTGCCCCTCATCCAACCCATTCCCCTCATCCAACCCATTGCCCCTCATCCAACCCATTGCCCCTCATCCAACCCATTGCCCCTCATCCAACCCATTGCCCCTCATCCAACCCATTGCCCCTCATCCAACCCATTGCCCCTCATCCAACCCATTGCCCCTCATCCAACCCATTGCCCCTCATCCAACCCATTGCCCCTCATCCAACCCATTGCCCCTCATCCAACCCATTGCCCCTCATCCAACCCATTGCCCCTCATCCAACCCATTGCCCCTCATCCAACCCATTGCCCCTCATCCAACCCATTGCCCCTCATCCAACCCATTGCCCCTCATCCAACCCATTGCCCCTCATCCAACCCATTGCCCCTCATCCAACCCATTGCCCCTCATCCAACCCATTGCCCCTCATCCAACCCATTGCCCCTCATCCAACCCATTGCCCCTCATCCAACCCATTGCCCCTCATCCAACCCATTGCCCCTCATCCAACCCATTGCCCCTCATCCAACCCATTGCCCCTCATCCAACCCATTGCCCCTCATCCAACCCATTGCCCCTCATCCAACCCATTGCCCCTCATCCAACCCATTGCCCCTCATCCAACCCATTGCCCCTCATCCAACCCATTGCCCCTCATCCAACCCATTGCCCCTCATCCAACCCATTGCCCCTCATCCAACCCATTGCCCCTCATCCAACCCATTGCCCCTCATCCAACCCATTGCCCCTCATCCAACCCATTGCCCCTCATCCAACCCATTGCCCCTCATCCAACCCATTGCCCCTCATCCAACCCATTGCCCCTCATCCAACCCATTGCCCCTCATCCAACCCATTGCCCCTCATCCAACCCATTGCCCCTCATCCAACCCATTGCCCCTCATCCAACCCATTGCCCCTCATCCAACCCATTGCCCCTCATCCAACCCATTGCCCCTCATCCAACCCATTGCCCCTCATCCAACCCATTGCCCCTCATCCAACCCATTTCCCCTCATCCAACCCATTGCCCCTCATCCAACCCATTTCCCCTCATCCAACCCATTGCCCCTCATCCAACCCATTTCCCCTCATCCAACCCATTGCCCCTCATCCAACCCATTGCCCCTCATCCAACCCATTGCCCCTCATCCAACCCATTGCCCCTCATCCAACCCATTCCCCTCATCCAACCCATTGCCCCTCATCCAACCCATTGCCCCTCATCCAACCCATTGCCCCTCATCCAACCCATTGCCCCTCATCCAACCCATTGCCCCTCATCCAACCCATTGCCCCTCATCCAACCCATTGCCCCTCATCCAACCCATTGCCCCTCATCCAACCCATTGCCCCTCATCCAACCCATTGCCCCTCATCCAACCCATTGCCCCTCATCCAACCCATTGCCCCTCATCCAACCCATTGCCCCTCATCCAACCCATTGCCCCTCATCCAACCCATTGCCCCTCATCCAACCCATTGCCCCTCATCCAACCCATTGCCCCTCATCCAACCCATTGCCCCTCATCCAACCCATTGCCCCTCATCCAACCCATTGCCCCTCATCCAACCCATTGCCCCTCATCCAACCCATTGCCCCTCATCCAACCCATTGCCCCTCATCCAACCCATTGCCCCTCATCCAACCCATTGCCCCTCATCCAACCCATTGCCCCTCATCCAACCCATTGCCCCTCATCCAACCCATTGCCCCTCATCCAACCCATTGCCCCTCATCCAACCCATTGCCCCTCATCCAACCCATTGCCCCTCATCCAACCCATTGCCCCTCATCCAACCCATTGCCCCTCATCCAACCCATTGCCCCTCATCCAACCCATTGCCCCTCATCCAACCCATTGCCCCTCATCCAACCCATTGCCCCTCATCCAACCCATTGCCCCTCATCCAACCCATTGCCCCTCATCCAACCCATTGCCCCTCATCCAACCCATTGCCCCTCATCCAACCCATTGCCCCTCATCCAACCCATTGCCCCTCATCCAACCCATTGCCCCTCATCCAACCCATTGCCCCTCATCCAACCCATTGCCCCTCATCCAACCCATTGCCCCTCATCCAACCCATTGCCCCTCATCCAACCCATTGCCCCTCATCCAACCCATTGCCCCTCATCCAACCCATTGCCCCTCATCCAACCCATTGCCCCTCATCCAACCCATTGCCCCTCATCCAACCCATTGCCCCTCATCCAACCCATTGCCCCTCATCCAACCCATTGCCCCTCATCCAACCCATTGCCCCTCATCCAACCCATTGCCCCTCATCCAACCCATTGCCCCTCATCCAACCCATTGCCCCTCATCCAACCCATTGCCCCTCATCCAACCCATTGCCCCTCATCCAACCCATTGCCCCTCATCCAACCCATTGCCCCTCATCCAACCCATTGCCCCTCATCCAACCCATTGCCCCTCATCCAACCCATTGCCCCTCATCCAACCCATTGCCCCTCATCCAACCCATTGCCCCTCATCCAACCCATTGCCCCTCATCCAACCCATTGCCCCTCATCCAACCCATTGCCCCTCATCCAACCCATTGCCCCTCATCCAACCCATTGCCCCTCATCCAACCCATTGCCCCTCATCCAACCCATTGCCCCTCATCCAACCCATTGCCCCTCATCCAACCCATTGCCCCTCATCCAACCCATTGCCCCTCATCCAACCCATTGCCCCTCATCCAACCCATTGCCCCTCATCCAACCCATTGCCCCTCATCCAACCCATTGCCCCTCATCCAACCCATTGCCCCTCATCCAACCCATTGCCCCTCATCCAACCCATTGCCCCTCATCCAACCCATTGCCCCTCATCCAACCCATTGCCCCTCATCCAACCCATTGCCCCTCATCCAACCCATTGCCCCTCATCCAACCCATTGCCCCTCATCCAACCCATTGCCCCTCATCCAACCCATTGCCCCTCATCCAACCCATTGCCCCTCATCCAACCCATTGCCCCTCATCCAACCCATTGCCCCTCATCCAACCCATTGCCCCTCATCCAACCCATTGCCCCTCATCCAACCCATTGCCCCTCATCCAACCCATTGCCCCTCATCCAACCCATTGCCCCTCATCCAACCCATTGCCCCTCATCCAACCCATTGCCCCTCATCCAACCCATTGCCCCTCATCCAACCCATTGCCCCTCATCCAACCCATTGCCCCTCATCCAACCCATTGCCCCTCATCCAACCCATTGCCCCTCATCCAACCCATTGCCCCTCATCCAACCCATTGCCCCTCATCCAACCCATTGCCCCTCATCCAACCCATTGCCCCTCATCCAACCCATTGCCCCTCATCCAACCCATTTCCCCTCATCCAACCCATTTCCCCTCATCCAACCCATTGCCCCTCATCCAACCCATTGCCCCTCATCCAACCCATTGCCCCTCATCCAACCCATTGCCCCTCATCCAACCCATTGCCCCTCATCCAACCCATTGCCCCTCATCCAACCCATTGCCCCTCATCCAACCCATTCCCCTCATCCAACCCATTGCCCCTCATCCAACCCATTTCCCCTCATCCAACCCATTGCCCCTCATCCAACCCATTGCCCCTCATCCAACCCATTGCCCCTCATCCAACCCATTGCCCCTCATCCAACCCATTGCCCCTCATCCAACCCATTGCCCCTCATCCAACCCATTGCCCCTCATCCAACCCATTGCCCCTCATCCAACCCATTGCCCCTCATCCAACCCATTGCCCCTCATCAACCCATTGCCCCTCATCCAACCCATTGCCCCTCATCCAACCCATTGCCCCTCATCAACCCATTGCCCCTCATCCAACCCATTGCCCCTCATCCAACCCATTGCCCCTCATCCAACCCATTGCCCCTCATCCAACCCATTGCCCCTCATCCAACCCATTGCCCCTCATCCAACCCATTGCCCCTCATCCAACCCATTGCCCCTCATCAACCCATTGCCCCTCATCCAACCCATTGCCCCTCATCCAACCCATTGCCCCTCATCAACCCATTGCCCCTCATCAACCCATTGCCCCTCATCCAACCCATTGCCCCTCATCCAACCCATTGCCCCTCATCCAACCCATTGCCCCTCATCCAACCCATTGCCCCTCATCCAACCCATTGCCCCTCATCCAACCCATTGCCCCTCATCCAACCCATTGCCCCTCATCCAACCCATTGCCCCTCATCCAACCCATTGCCCCTCATCCAACCCATTGCCCCTCATCCAACCCATTGCCCCTCATCCAACCCATTGCCCCTCATCCAACCCATTGCCCCTCATCCAACCCATTGCCCCTCAACCAACCCATTGCCCCTCATCCAACCCATTGCCCCTCATCCAACCCATTGCCCCTCATCCAACCCATTGCCCCTCATCCAACCCATTGCACCTCATCCAACCCATTTCCCCTCATCCAACCCATTGCCCCTCATCCAACCCATTGCCCCTCATCCAACCCATTGCCCCTCATCCAACCCATTGCCCCTCATCCAACCCATTGCCCCTCATCCAACCCATTGCCCCTCATCCAACCCATTGCCCCTCATCCAACCCATTGCCCCTCATCCAACCCATTGCCCCTCATCCAACCCATTGCCCCTCATCCAACCCATTGCCCCTCATCCAACCCATTGCCCCTCATCCAACCCATTGCCCCTCATCCAACCCATTGCCCCTCATCCAACCCATTGCCCCTCATCCAACCCATTGCCCCTCATCCAACCCATTGCCCCTCATCCAACCCATTGCCCCTCATCCAACCCATTGCCCCTCATCCAACCCATTGCCCCTCATCCAACCCATTGCCCCTCATCCAACCCATTGCCCCTCATCCAACCCATTGCCCCTCATCCAACCCATTGCCCCTCATCCAACCCATTGCCCCTCATCCAACCCATTGCCCCTCATCCAACCCATTGCCCCTCATCCAACCCATTGCCCCTCATCCAACCCATTGCCCCTCATCCAACCCATTGCCCCTCATCCAACCCATTGCCCCTCATCCAACCCATTGCCCCTCATCCAACCCATTGCCCCTCATCCAACCCATTGCCCCTCATCCAACCCATTGCCCCTCATCCAACCCATTGCCCCTCATCCAACCCATTGCCCCTCATCCAACCCATTGCCCCTCATCCAACCCATTGCCCCTCATCCAACCCATTGCCCCTCATCCAACCCATTGCCCCTCACCCAACCCATTGCCCCTCACCAAATGGTCACGGCAGGCTGGAGGACCTGTGGCTGAACGACAACAGCATGGAGTCACTTGCCCAGCTCATGGCCGCTCTAGAGGGGCTTCTGCACTCACCACCTGCACTCACCACCTGCACTCACCACCTGCACTCACCACCTGCACTCACCACCTGCACTCACCACCTGCACTCACCACCTGCACTCACCACCTGCACTCACCACCTGCACTCACCACCTGCACTCACCCCTGCACTCACCACCTGCACTCACCACCTGCACTCACCACCTGCACTCACCACCTGCACTCACGGCATCAGCCACCATGCGCTCACCCCCTCACCCCCTCGCCCCCCATCGCGGCAGGCTGGAGGACCTGTGGCTGAACGACAACCGCATTGAGTCGCTCCAGCAGCTCATGGCCGCGCTGGACGGCCCCAAGGCGTCGCTCGTGACACTCTACCTCGAGCGCAACCCCTGTGTGAGTGGCTACACTGACAGCGCATATGCCTGTGCTAGTGGGCTGCCTGTGCTAGTGGGCTGCCTGTGCTAGTGGGCTGCCTGTGCCAAGGCACCTCTCCCTCAAAATGCTAGTGCCAGTGGGCTGCCTGTATGAAGTGGGGTGTATGCAGCTTCCTCTCCCTCACCTTCTTCACTCTCTAACACCATTTCTCTCATCCCTGAAATCTCCCTCCCCCTCCTCACTCCCCGCATGCCTCTCTTTCTGCACCGCCCTCTTTCTGCACCGCCCTCTTTCTGCACCGCCCTCTTTCTGCACCGCCCTCTTTCTGCACCGCCCTCTTTCTGCACCGCCCTCTTTCTGCACCGCCCTCTTTCTGCACCGCCCTCTTTCTGCACCGCCCTCTTTCTGCACCGCCCTCTTTCTGCACCGCCCTCTTCGCCCTCCATCATCTCCTGTCACCTCATCCATGCACGTTCACGGGCTGTGTAAGGCAAAGGAAGCAGGAAACAATGAGTCCCCCCCCCCCCCCATCTCATCCCCCCCCTCTCCTACCCTCCTCGACACACGTGTGTGCCTGGTTATGTGCTGAGCGCAGGCTGAGGAAGCAGGGTACTTTAAGACCCCACGGCAAGCCCTCTCCTCTGATCCCTTGTCCCCTGCCCTCCCTGCAACACACATGTGCATTGCATGCATGCACTGCTCGCAGGCCAAGGAAGCCAGCCAGGTACATTGAGACTCTATGTCCTCTCCTCTCATCCCATCGCCCCCCTCCTCCCCTTTATGCACCACTGCAAAGAAGCAGGGTACACTGAGGCCGAAGCCCTTCTCTCATGCCCCTCCCTGCTCCCGTTCTTGCAACACACATGTCTGCATGCACTGCACTGCTGGCAGGCGCAGGAAGCGGGATACATTGAGGCTCTGGCAAAGATGCTGCCCAAGGCAGTGGAGATCGACTCCAAGCCCGTGAGGTGATGCTTGGCGTGGCAATTCATACTCAAGGCTCACACCTTCACATCTGGGAAGGTTGGCTGGAGCTAGCGCTGTGATTGGCCAACAAAAAAGACGGGTATGGTGTTCTAAAGTGGGGCCGACACTGATGTGGTGTCAACCCAACGTAGCATAGGAAGGATGAACCGATGGGGGGGGGCTGGCTGTAGGGGTGAGGCAGGCATGCATCAGAGCATACATTCTGGCATGCTGTTGGGCTTTGCTTGCAACCTGTCCGTCTCAGCTTTTGTAGAGCTGAAGACATCCGTCGTAGCACCAGCCTTAGCAGCACTACCATTCTAGTCTGTTCCAATCCAATATGTAGAGGTGCTGGTTCAATAGTGCCAGTGTGTACCTGCACACCCGGGGCATCTGTTAATGTATGCAGAAGTGTACATCTGCCTTCGCACTACCATTTTTCGGTAGTCTATTTTTCTCATTATATAGATGCCAGTTCAGTATGCCAGTGTGTGTGCCATTGCGACCACATCTTTCAGGGCTCAGCTGCGATACTACTGAAAGCGGAAAACCATCATATGCACAAAACTTGAGAACTACCCATCCTGGCAAAGCAACTGATAACAGCAGAGGCAAGCAGCCACATCGACCCCCTGTCAGTCATCTGTAGGGAATCAACCAGTGCTTGTGCTGCTTGTGCTGTATGTGAGCGGCTACACAAGCAGCTGCATGCTCCAGTGCAGAGCAGAGCAGAGAGCAGGGTGTTTTGTATGGTTACAGCAGCAGCACAGTGCGGGGCAGGGCAGGGGTGTCATCATCAGTACTTGTAGGGCTGCTGCTGCGAGGGCAGGAGCTTGAAGCGTGACTTGCATGCCACCCTTTGCTTCGAATACTTGTCGTCCGGGGAGAAGCGCGCTGGTGGGGGAAATACAGAGAGGGGAAGCGTGGGGACACGTGGGGAGAGGTTGAGGAAGGTGGGGAGGGGTGGGGATGATGGGAGACCTTGATCGCAACAAGGCGTGCATGCCATGCCACCCTCTGATTGGAGTACTTGTCGTTTGGGGAGAAACGCGCTTGTGGGGGAACAGGGTGGACAAGGGAATAGGTGTGGAGGGGTTGGGAAAGGTGGGGAGGATTGGGGGTGGGTAAATGTGTGGGGATGAGTGGGGATGGGTGGGAAGCAGAGAGGGGCGGGGTGTGGATGCGGCAGTATAATCGCAGTCTGCAGAGCCTGCGACCAGCCGTTGGCGGCGACCAGCCGTTGGTGGCGACCAGCCGTTGGTGGCGACCCATTCCATTGTCGTCGCATGAACGACGACGGCTGGTGGCGCCTTGGAGAACGACGAGTGTGCGACAGCGGTTAGAAGAGGAAGGGGTTTGATGAAAACAGCGAACATGGTAGCGTCAGGAAGGGCAGAGCAGGAGCAGGCTAGGGAGAACAGCTAGTGGGCGCGCTCGACACGGCGCGAGAAGGCCAGCGGCGAAGGGGGAGCAGCGTGGGGGAGAGCAGCGAGCGGGACAGCAGCGAGGGGGGATCAGCGAGGGGGAATGCGACGAGGTGGGGGGGAGGAGCGCAGCGCACGGACCTGGGTGTGCGGATTGCGTGGGCTTGGAGCCGTCGGGCTCCATTCTCTGCGCGCATTCAAGCGGGGAGGGGAGGGATGGCGAGACGCACCGTCAAAAGCAACTTCGACACGATTCTAAATGACGGCTGAATCAAAAAGCCACATTGCTGCCTCGTGCCGCCCCATGATGCCCAATGATGCCCCGTCATGTCTTGCCCCATCATGTCATGCCCCATCATGTCTTGCCCCATCATGTCTTGCCCCATCATGTCATGCCCCATCATGCCGCATCATCCGACAACGTTAGCTAAACCCGTCCCTGACCAAGCATATGACTGGCTGCGGCGACGGCGAAGCTGCGTGAACTAATACGCGAAATCCTCACAGACGGACTTACCTGGAGAGTGTAGACTTTCTTGCCCTCGTCGTCAATATACACCTGAAGAAACATGATGGCTGCTGGCTGCGCGAACTAGATCTCAAAATCGACGAACGCAGCGACGTGGACGCAGCGCGATTTCCTGACGAGAAAATGTACACGGAGCGCAAGGTCACGCTAGGGCGCGGTGGAGACGGAAAAACAGCGCGCGGGGATAAAAGGGCTGCCAAGGAGTGTTGAGGGCGTATTAGGGCTCTGCGAGGTTTCCAGAAACAAAGAGCGCTGGGTTGGGAAGGGGAAGGGGTTTTGTGCCACATACAGGGAGCTTTGGGGAAAGGGCGTGTTCAGCTTCGATGTTGAGAGAAGCACACTGACTCGGCATGGTAGCCTTTCTGCGGGATGCACCGGGTGCAGAAACTCGAGCATGTGGCCCCTGCGATCAATGGTCATTGCGACATGAACGAGCATGGCGATTTCGGCAAACCAGAATTCAGCGAACAAGGTCGAACTTCTGCTGCTATATATTAGGACGCGACGCTGAAGCCAATCAAATGCTTGCAAAATCGTCTCTCACTGGCTCACATTGTTTTCAGTATCTGACCTACAGCTTGGTTTCCAGGGGCCACGCCACACAAACACCGCAAATTGTTGGCTTTCCCTCATAAGCTTGAATTCGGTGGTTCGTTTCGTGCACTCTGCTGCTTACGCCACGATTCACAACCGAACTCAAATGCGCAACGAAGCTAGGGTTTCGCTGGGTCTGCCACTGCATCATTCAGAGCCTCTGACGACTATTGCAGAACTTGGTACAAGCGAGGAAGGCATGAAGGTTCAGGCAAGCGCATCAGCAAGCCATGTCCACGGAGCATTTTGGGTCATAGCTTTGGTTTTGGAAGCTGAGACACACTCGGAGGCTTCAGCGTTGGAGACAACACAGCTTTCGTGACTTAGGGGCTCTGACGCGAAATGTACTCTGTTGAAGGCTGCGGAACGTGTTGAAGCTAACGGAGGGACCAGGGCGTGCGTGATGTCTAATTCCGTTTCTGTTTTATTGCTCACGTAGTCCGTCCTCGCTCCATTGGTGTGCATTCACAAGTTGTGCCATAGATGAACAAATCTTCCTGATCGCGCGTTAGCGAGCATCGTATAGCTGCTCAACGCTCGATTGATACAACCGCTTAGTCAGTCGATGTGAGAGTTTCTTGCGTCCCAGCCATGGCTCTCGCACGAGTGCCTGCGACGGTGTTTTCGCGTGTACCGATTCGTCTCCTCGTCGTCGTGTCTCTTCTCTTGGTTTTCAGCTTCCACCCGGCTGGTGCCGGAATTCTTGCGGCCACGCAACTCGCTTCGGTCGCGGAGCCTTTAGCTTCTACGCACTCCGTTATTGTCACGCCACCCGTTCTGGTCACGCAACCCGTCACTGTTACGCGACCCAGCAACCGGCATCGCTTGTTCTTGCGCATAGGCCCCAGTGATAAAGACGAAGGTGATTACAGTGAACGCGATTCTTCTTCCCCTGGAACTGAGGGCGGGGATGGCACGGATTATTTCTCGACGGACGCCGCTGCGTCCGCAGCAGCGGATTTTGACGCAATTGATTCCGGCGACAGCACTCAACCGTGGAGCGACAACAGCGACGGCAGCGACGGGGGCGGCGACGGCAGTAACGACGGCGGCATCAGCGGCAGCCGGCTGGGCGACGGCGACGGCGACGGCGACGAGATGGACGACTTTCCGCACTACGCCGTCTTCGGCTTCTTCGCGCTCTGCGCCACGCTCGTGCTGCTCCTTCCGCTCGCGCTCCGCCAGGTGCTCACCAGCTCCGCGCACCTGGCGGCGGCCGCCGCGCGAGACTACTCGGAAGCGGTCGCGGAGGTGCTGAACCACGCGCTCGTCGCGTACACGGCGGCGCAGGTGGCGCTCTTCACGGCGCTCTTCCTCCCGCCCGCGCTCGTCTTCGACGTGCTCGCGCTACTCCGCAACGCCTGCCGCCCCCGCCGCGCGGGCCACCTCAGCTACTTCGTCCCGCCCTTCCTGCGCGCATTCGTCCGCCCGTGGCTCGCGCTGCTGTGCGGCGGGGTTCCCTGGGCCGTGGGGGGAGAAGGGGGAGGGGACGGGGAGAATGGGGAAGGGGGGGAGGGGGAAGGGGCGGAGGAAGGGATGGTGTTCCTCGGGCCAATGACGGCGGAGGAGCTGGCGGCGCTACCGCAGGTGGTGTACGGTGGGGAGGGGTGCGGCGGAGACCAATGGCAGCAACAGGAACAGCAAGAACAGATGGAGGAGGAGGAGGGCGGGGTGGATTGTTTGACTGATTGTACAGATGGTGATTGTACAGAGGGGCTTATCAAGAGGGGCCTCCCAGGTGGGCCTGTAGGGCCTTCAAGCGAAGGCGGGGATAGACGACTCGCGCTGGGAGCAGCCGCGGAGAGAGGTGCGGCGGAGGGGAGAGCGGGGAACATGGTTTGCGCGGGGGAGGAGGGCGAGGAGGGAGCGGCAGCAACCTTGGAAGAAGGCGAGGGGGGGGAGCAGCAGCCGTTAATGGCTGCTGCAGCAGCGGCGGTGCCTGTAGGGGTTGCGGCAAGGGCTGGGACGGCGGGAGGGGGAGCCGGGAGGTGTGAGGTGGAGGAAGAGGAGGAAGAGGAGCGGTCCCAGCTGCTGGCTCAGGGCAGCAGAGTACGGGGAGAGTGGCGCGTGCAGGTGGATGGGGAGGGGGAGGGCGAGGGGGAGGGGGATGCGCATGGGGATAGAAGTGGGGATGCGAGTAGTAGGGGTTTGGAATGCAGTGGAGCATCAGGGAGAGAGGTTGTGAGAACAGAGAGTGGGGAGGAAGACCCATGCACCATCTGCTTCGATGGCTTTAAGAAGGGCGACCAGCTGAGAGTACTGCCGTGCCAACACAGTGAGTGGAGGGTTGTCGCACCAACTAACATGCACACACACGCATGCACGCTCGCACGCTCGCACGCACGCTCGCATGCACACACGGGCAAGCACATGCACACATTAGCGCTCATGCACCAGCACCATGTGCACACATACACATGCACACGCACACACTGACTCATGCACGCACACACGCACAG